GCGGGCGGAGGGGAAGGGGAGGAAGGTCGGCTCGCAGGCCGGGCGGCCCCGCGCGGCCCCGAGTCCCCAGTGCCCGGCGGCCCCCAGGCGGCGGGTCGCGTGAGGCTGGGGGGGAGGCCAGCCGGGCAACGTGGCGAAACGCCGCCTCCCCCGCCCAACACTCATTCCTGGCTCCATCTCGTCCTCCCCCACCGCCCATCCCCGGCTGGCGGGCCTCAGTGTGGTCCTGCCCCGGCCTGTCCTCTGAGTTCCAGGCGGCCCTACGGGACAACGTCTCATTCATTCCACGAGCAGCGCCGAGTACATCATAGGTGCTAGCCTCCCTTCTAGGTGCTGAGCATGCCGTTGGTAACATAAAAATCCCTGCCCTGGTGGGCAAGAAGGAAAATAAGCGCTGTGTAGGATTCACAGTGCATTGGATGTGCCAAGTGCTGAAAGTAACCGTAACCCTGGCTGGTGGCTCATGCCTGTAATTCCAACACTTGGCGGGGACCCAGGCTGCTGTGGAGTGGCAAACCCACAGCCACCGCAGCCTCGACCTGCCGGGCTCAGGCGGTCCTTCCACCTCAGCCTTCCAGGTAGTTGAAACTACAGACATGTACCACCATGCCCAGCTAATCTTTTGATTTATTGTAGAGATGAGGTCTCACCAAGTTGCCCAGGTTGGTCTTGAACCTGTGGACTCAGGCAACCCTCTCACCTCCACCTCCCAAAGTGCTGGGACTACAGGAGTGAGGCCACTGCACCCGGCTTCTGCCTCTTTCACAGCAGAGCCAGCCCATCGGCCAGGCCTGTCTAGACCCTGAATTCCTCTGCATCCCCTTCTCCTCCAGCACCCACTCTGAACTCCCAGCTCAAGGCACCATCTGGATTTCCTTACAGCAGCTGCCTCCCTGGCCTCCAGACAGCCCCCTCAACCTCTCCCAGTTCCCCTACGGCAGCCAGGGGGGCCTGTGGACATAAGAGTCAGTTAACGTCCCTCCTCCCCTCAGAGGTAGCTCACTTGGAGGTGGCCCATAAGGCCTTGCACTACCTGCTTCAGCCCTCCCTGCCTCACCCCCTCACAATCACTCTCTTCCTCACACCAAGCACATGCTGCCTTCTCAGCCTGGGACAGTCTCCACATTTTAATATAGGTCCCAGTATTCTTCCTGGTCACCACATTTACAACTGCCCTTCCTGAACTCTCCCTAGCAGGGTTCTTTTTAATTTTCTTTTACTTTTTTTCTTTTCTTAGAGGGAGACAGGGTCTCACTCTCACCCAGGCTGGAGTGCAGTGGTGTGATCATAGCTCACTGCAGCCTCGACCTCCTGGGCTCAGGCGATCCTCCTATCTCAGCCAACTGAATAGCTGGGATTACAGGTGCCTGCCACCACCCCTGGCTAATTTTTAAAATTTTTTGTAGAGATAGGGTCTGGCTGTGTTGCCCAGGCTGGTCTCAAAGTCTTGTCCTCAAGTGATCTGCCCACCTCGGCCTTCCAAGGTACTGAAATTATAGGTGTGAGCTACTGTGCCCAGCCTTCATTTGAGTATTTACTCGCCCTCTGAAATGGCCTCATCTGCATTATCTGAATTCCTCCTTCCAAAAACCAGCTCCCCGAGGCTGAGTCGGATTCTTGCTCACTGCTCTGTCTTCAGCCCTAACACGCTGGCAACCCTCTCTCCCAGACACGCATGCCCCAGGGGTGCTGTGCCTTCTGTGTGTCCTGCAGGCTCACACAGGTCAATCCAGGGAAGGGTCTTTGCTGGAGTGTGTGTGCCCGTGGGTGCCCGCCGAGGCCTGGCAGGTTCACGCATGGGACCCCTACAGTCTCCATTCCTGGGCACGCTGGGCTTCCCATGCTCAAACCCTCTCAGACGGCTGTGCATGCTGTGTACACATGCCCACACACCCCCCCAACAGTCTGCACAGACTTCACCATCACACCCCCTGCCTCATTCACACATTCCACAACATGCTCTTTGAGTGCCTACTGCACACCCACTGCTGTTCCAAGCCAAGGGGTCACAGTCTTAACCAAAACAGACAAATTCCTGCCCTTGTGGTGCTGACATTCCAGTGGGAAAACATGAACAAGTCAGACAGCTGGTAGACAGGTCAGAAGGTGATAGTATGCAAGAAAAACCAAGCAGGGAAGGGTTGGCAGTCCCAGGATTGGGGGGGGTGTCATTTAAATAGAAGGACTAGCCAGGTGCAGTGGCTCATGCCTGTAATCCTAGCACTTTTGGAGGCTGGAGTGGGAGGATCTCGAGTCCAGGAGTTCAAAACCAGTCTGGGCAACATAGTGAAACCCGGGTGTGGTGGTGGTGCCTGCAGTCCCAGGTACTCAGAAGGCCGAGGCAGGAGGCTTGCTGGAGCCCAAGATTTGGAGGTTGCAGTGAGCTATGGTTGCACCATTGCCCTCCAGCCAGGGCCACCGAGTGAGACCTTGCCTCTAAAAAAATGTTTTTAAATAAAAAATCGTAAAAAATTACACTTGAACAAAGACCTGAAGGAAGAGGAAGAAGAGGAAGAGCATTCCAGGCAGAGGAAATGGCGAGCGCAGCAGCCTGTGAAGCCGGAACCGAAGGAGCAAGAAGGAAGCAGGAGAAGGTGAGGGCAGGGAGCCAGTGAGGCAAAGCGTGCAGGGCCTTGTGGGATTTCACCCTGGGGCAGGTGAGAGCCACGGAGGGTTCTGAGCTGGAGACGGGCACATTCACTCCCAGACTCGCACACACAGCAAGGACAGGACAGGGCACTCCCCTCATCCCCCTCTTCACCAACACCAGGGCCCCACAGCAGGGGTGGACCAAACCCTCTGAAGTAGAGAGTGTGGGTGATACCCACTGCCTTTCCCGCTCTCAGCCTGGGGTGGGGGGTGGGCTGTGGTGGGTCTCCCAATAGAAGAAACCTCCACCTCTGCATTCCCATGTTCCCACATGCTCACCTCTCACAGCTGAGACCCTGGAGCCTGCAGGGCTCACAGCAGGCACAAGCAGTCCAAAGAAGAGCTGAGGGTCCAGAAGGGCCTCTGAGCTGGGGAGGGAGATAGGCGGGTGGGAGAGAAAGTGAGAAGAGGCTTGATAATGGCTCCCCAGCCCCCAGAGCCTGGGAGTGGAGCTGAACGTTGGGTCCAAGAGCCTGGACTGTAAATATTTAGCGTTTCCGGCATGAGAACCACAGTAGAATTACCAGACCCCCTGCCCAGGCCACCAGAGCCTGATAACACAGGTCAGTGCCCTGGACATTCCTTCCCCCGCAGTGGAGCCCAGAGTGTGAGAGGCTGCAGAAGGCCCGGCAGCCAGGAGGGATCCCAACCCCTGACATGGACACACCCCGCAAAGAGCAACCAACAGTGGGCACCTGCATGTTAAGCTGAGCTCTGACTCCTCACACTTTTTATCTCAGTGGATCCTCACCCCTGAGCTGGCTTTTTTTTTTTTTTTTTAGACAAGGTCTTGCTCTTTCACCCAGACTGGAGTGGAGTGGTGCTATCATAGCTCACTGTAGCCTTGAACTCCTGGACTTAAGCAATCCTCCTGCCTCAACCTCCTGAGTAGCTGGGGCTACAGGCACGCACCACTGTGCCTGGCTAGTTTTTTGGGGAGGGGGTATACTTATTTTGTGTGTGGGGGGGTTCTCACTATATTGCCCAGGCTGGTCTCAAACTCCTGGCCTCAAGCAATCCTCCCACTGCAGCCTCCCAAAGTACTGGGATTACAGACATGAGCCACCACGCTCAGGCTGAGCTGGGTTCTGTAGGTAGCCTGACTACACAACAGGGAACACTGAGGCTCAGAAAGGGTGAGCAACTTACCTGTGGTCAAGCAGACAGAAAGGAGCCAGGACAGGATTCAGCCCAGGTAGCTTGGCTCCCAAACATACACACATATACTACAGTTGCACACACATGATGCATGCAGAACAGAACACACACAATCACACACATCCCAATACTCAACAAAGTATGCAAACCACTGTACAGGGCAGCAAGGATAGACAGATGGAATCGGTTATATACGTGCATGCCCACCAATTTGTCTGACACACACACACATATAAAGACATAACTGGGCTGGGTACAGTGGGTCAAGCCTGTAATCACGGCACTTTGGGAGGCCGAGGTGGGAGGGTCACTCAGGGCCAGGATTTCGAGAACAGGCTGAGAAACATAGTGAGATGTCATCTCTACAAAAAATCAGAAAATGAGCTGGGAGTGGTGACGGGTGCAGGAGGTTGAGGCAAGAGGATCACTTGAGCACGGGAGGTTGATGTTGATGCTGCAGTGAGCAGTGATCATACCACTGCACTCCAGCCTGAGTGACAGAGTAAGACTCTGTTTCTAAAAATAAAAATAAGACCCGGTGCATTGGCTGGTGCCTGTAATCCCAGTACTTTGGGAGTCAGAGGTGAGAGGATTGCCTGAGGTCAGGGGTTTGAAACTAGCCTGGGAAATTGGGCAAGATCTCATCTCTACAATGAATAAGTAAATAAGCCAGGTGTGGTGGCGCACACCTGTAGTTCCAGCTACTGAGGAGGCTGAGGTGGAAAGATCACCTGAGCCCAGCAGGTTGAGGCTATGGTGGCCATGAGAATGCCATTACACTCCAGCCTGGGCAACAGAGTGAGACTCAAAAAAAACCAAAAAAAAAAAAAAAAAACAGCCTAGGCAACACAGTGAGACCCTGTCTCTACAAAAAGTAAAAAATTAAAAAATAAAAAGGCACAACTGGAAACATGACGCAGATCCAGGCACCAGCTGTGTGTTCACGACACAGCCACACATGCACCACAAGCTAAAGGGAAACACTGTGTAAATGTGTCTGTGTCTGTGTGTCACACATGTTGGCACCAGACACGTGGGTAACCCAGTGGCGAACACAGCTTCTACGCAGGTCCACAGCAACACCAGATGCTGTCCACCACTGCGTAGAAGTTTCCATGTGTCTCTCACACTCGATTACATTTTCACCCAATCACCACACAGAACAGAGCAGGGGATGCAACCGCGAAATCAATTCTCAGAGGTACAGAGAGACTCACGTGCAGCCCCCAGGGCCGAGGCTGGTCCCAACCACAGGAAGGTCCCTGAGGAGCAGACCAGCTGAAGAAGCAGCCTCCTCCCTGTCTTGAAGGCCCAAACAACCCGAATGGAATCCGGGAGGAAAGAGGAAATGGTCGTCCCAGATCCGAGACAGGCTGCAGGCTGGGCTCCAGGCCCAGGCTGGGCTCTGCGCGGCCCCTCGGCCCGACCACAGCCCCCTCCTGCTTCCAATGGGCAGCAGAGAAAGGAAAACGCTCATAAGTCACAGAGGAGGGGAAGGGAAGAAAAGGTGGCAGAGAAAAAGGAGGGAGAGACGTGGAGAGTGGGAGACATAAAGGACACGGAGAGACTGGGAGATACAAGGAAAAACATGAAAGACAGGAAGAGTTAGAAGGCGAAACAAGAAGAGACAGGGGAACCATGGAGGAGTGGGAGGGAAATAAGTAGGTGTATGGAACAGTGACTATAAGGATAAATTTTTTTTTTTTTTTTTTTGAGTTGCAGTCTCACTCTGTCGCCCAGACTGTCGCTCCCGGGAGCGGCCACAGCAGCCTCGACCTGCTGGGCTCCGGCGATCCTTCCACCTCAGCCTTCCAAGTAGCCAGAATTACAGGCATGCGCTACCACGCCCGGCTGATTTTTTGATTTATTGTAGAGATGAGGTCTTGCTGCCCAGGGAGGTCTCGAACCCACAGGCTCAAGCAATCCACTCACCTCAGCCTCCCAAAGGTGCAGAATTACAGGCTGAGCCACCGAGCCCGGCTTATAAGGAGAAATATTAGGGTATAAAAGAAACATCGATGGACAAAGACATTGGGGTATAAGAGACATCAGGCTACAAGGACAGAATTTAAGCTATAAGGAGAGACATCGGGGTTTGAGGAGAGACATCAGTGTAGAAGGAAAGACATCAGGGAATAAGAAGAGATATCGGGATAAAGCAGAGATCAGACTATAAGGAGAGACATCGGTCTACAAAGAGAGACATCGGGGTAAAGGAGAAACACGGAGGTATAAGGAGATACATTGGGCTATAAAGAGAGACATGGAGGTTTAAGGAGAGACTTCGGGGTATAAGGAGCGACCTAAGGCTATAAGGAGAGATATCGCGCTATAGAGACATCGAGCTATAAGGAGGGACACTGAGGTATAAGGAGACACGTTGGGCTATAAAGAGAGATATGGAAGTATAAGGAGAGACATCAGCCGGGCTCGGTGGCTCAGCCTGTAATCCCGCGCTTTGGGAGGCTGAGGTGAGTGGATTGCCTGAGCCGGCGGGTTCGAGACCCGCG